TAAGTCTTGTTCTCAAATAGGTTCATGATTCTTTGTTGGCATTACCAAGCATACACATATCAATATACCTGCAATGAACATACATTATGAAGGATAAAATATAAAAGTGAACTGCTTTCAAGAATAGAATTGATAAAAATAATGAAGAAGAAACCTCGGGAGAAAAAAGTAGCAACCATCCTCTTTTGATTTTTTTCTGATAATCAATTCCTAATGAGAATAAGAAAGGAGGAACTTGGAAAAGTGAAATCAAAGAAAATGGAAGATGTCACGTTAAGATTTATCAACGTAATCAAGCATACCACTTATTAAAAAAAATACAGCAAGCCTAAACAGTAGATCAATTTGGGATCGGAGAAACTTAACTTTTGATTTTACCTCTTCGATATCATGCTTCAATTCTTCGTCAGTGGCGATCGCCTCCTCGTAACATTCTATGCAAGTGCGGCGTCAACATCAGCGTACTCGTGTTTCCAAGACAAACCCTTCACATATCTAATGACGTTGTCGACTGGAACTTTCCACCTTGAATCTTTAGAGCATAAGAAAAAAACAAACTGTAGATCATTCATGTTTACGAATAGCGACATGAAATCATTAAGTGAAAAAATGAACTAACAGGAAGAGAAAGAGGATGTCCGTGTGCGTTAACATTTGTTGAGAGAGACGGTGGGAGAGGAAACCAACCATATCCAAAATACGGAAGTGGATGAAAGAAGTAGAAGGCAGTGGAAGCAACCGTACGTCATTAGGCGAGCTGTCGCACACCACACAGTAGGAGCAGCATCGAACCCCCAACCATCGCACCACCTTCTTCGACCGCCTCCGCCTTTAAATTCAGGTATGTTTTTGAAGTTTGATTTCATCTATGTTGCTAATCAAGTTCGTTGGTGATGTTGAGGTGGGGTCGATGAATGGGAGGACCAGTCGGAGCAAGTAGAAAAATGGAGCAAGTAGAGAACTGGAGAAGAAACACATACGTACCCTAGAAATAGAAATCGGGGGAAAAGCAACCTGTTTGTCCGTCGCCCTTTCTTTCACCTCGACAAATCAAAGTCTGACTCAAGGAAACTCTAATCAAGTTCGTTGGTGATGTTGAGGTGGGGTCGATGAATGGGAGGACCCATCGGAGAAAGTAGAAAACTGGAGCAAGTAGAAAACTAGAGAAGAAACAAATACGTACCCTAGAAATAGAAATCGGGGGAAAAGCAACCTATTTGTCCATCGCCCTTTCTTTCACCTCGACGAATCAAGGAAACTGTATTGGAGCGTTTGAGTTTTGGATGGAATAGAAAATATAGAAGAAGAATCGAGAGATGGATGGAGTCGGTGAGGAAAATCGACAATAGAGTCTATGGCGGTGGGGTGGTTTTAGGGATTTTTAATCGTAAGAGAATAAGAAGCGGTGGACAGCAACCTAAAAAAAAAAAACAAATTCCAACCAATCACAGGAAAGTACTGTTAAAATTTTTCACATCTTTTTATATATATATATATATAATAATAACTTTAAAATTAATTATTCTTTTCCTATATAAATATCTTTTATCTATACAATTTTTTTCCACACAATTTCTCTCTCTATATATATAATTTCAATTATCTTCAAAAAAAAAAAATTAAGGATCCTTTCGCCACGTCCGATGATTCCGATGACGAGATATTCTTCAGGATGATGTATCATTATTAGACTAACAAGTTGCTACAGCCAAACCCCGCTCCACTACCAACAAGACATGCGGTGTTAAACAGAAACCTGAGGAAGGACACGAACATCTATATCGCGATTACTCTACGCATAGTTGTGTATACGGGTCAAAGGACTTCAAAAGAAGATTTTGTTAGAGTAGGAATCTGTTCCTACGGATCACCAACTCCTTGGAAAGTCGGTATCATTTTTTTCGTCTTAATACATATTTACTATACTTTTATACAAAATAAATACAAATGTACTTCATGTTTCTTTAACTTTAATACAAATGTACTAATTTTTTAAACTAGAGTTAATTTATGTTTTAGGTATGAATTTTTTCAGTTGAGATGTGATGCTAGAGGTAGACGAGGGTTTACAACATTGCAAAAATGTGTTGCGGCCATTTGTTTAATGGCTATGGTGGAGTCATCCGAAACCATGGACGGCTATATGAGAATGTCCAAAAGAACCACAAGGAAGAGTTTGTATACATTGTTAAGAGATGTCGTTGAAACATTTGAAGATGTATATTTGCAGAAACATTCGCTACATAATTTGGAAGAATTGTATGCGGCACATGAAGGACGCCATGGGTTTCCCGGAATGATTGGAAGCATTGATTGCACACATTGGAAATGGAAAAATTGTCTAGTAGCATGGAAAGCGCAATACGCAACCGGTCATCACAGATCACCTTCGTTGGTTTTAGAGGTTGTTGTCTCTCAAGATTTATGGATTTGGCATGCATTTTTTGGGGTTACGAGTTCCAGCAATGACATCAACGTTCTTGATCAGTCGCAGATATCCGACGATCTTTTGAATTGAAAGGGCACAAATGCTCCTTTCACATTGAATGGAAACGAATACAAATATGGGTATTATCTTACAGATGAAATATATCCTCAGTATTCCACATTAATGAAGACATTCTGACACCCAATTGAAGAAAGAGATAACATTTTCAAGAGAAGACAATGAGCACATAAGGATGTGGAACGTGTTTTTGGAGTAACGATAACAAATTGTGTAAGCATAGATTCGCTGACATTCAGTACGCAAATAAATACAGACAACTTCGGGAGAACTTGGCGGATTATATCTTCCACAGTAACGATAACAAATTGCGTTGTTTAGGAAAAATAAAATAATATTTTTGCTGTAATGTTTTTTTGAATTTGAATGTTATGTGTAATTTAAATGCTATGTTATTTTTTTAAACATTATGTTTTATTTATATATTATGTTTTATTTAAATTATATTTGTTTTAACTATAAAAAAAGAAACTCGAAAAAAAAATTATGATATGGAAAAAAGTTTTTGTCATATGTTATTATAATCATTTTCTCACTGATGTTAACATCAATATGATGTTATGATTAATTGTCCACACCCAATACTCTTAGCCCAATACTCTTAGCGAAATATTTCTTGAAACTAGTTCAACATATACAAATTAGTTTTTTATGCCACGATCTATTTTCTAGAAACGATGCCATCCTATACAAGATAGCCCCTCTTATTACTCGTTAATTATCTCATCCGACATGAGTGTTTAGCCAAGTATTTCTTGAAATCAGGTCATCATATACAAATTATTTTTTATGCCACCATCTATTTTCTAGACTAGAAACCATGCCATCGTATACAAAATAGATGATGCAACATTTTATGTTTTTATTTCCAAAATAATAATAATAATAATAATAATAATAATAATAATAATCTATTATAATAAATGAAAGTTTTTTTTACCACATGTCCTCTTCTTATTCATTTGAACACATGACATTTTCTAGAATTTTTAAATTTTCTATTTTCCACTTGTCATTTTATTGTATTTTTCATTTTATTAAATTGAAATTTCACATTTAATGTATAAGGTAATATATATGTAAAGTATTTATTAGAAAAAGTTTATATATGTAATGTATATCTCATTAATTTTAATAATTCAAAATTTTCTCATTTTTCTTATAAATTCAAACTTTTCAAATTGTTAAAATTTTATATTTATTTTTTTAATTAAACCCATGTAATACATGGGTTTCACACCTAGTCTTTAATAAATGAAGGTTTTTTTTGCCACTTATCACATTCTCGTTCATTTTGCCACATGTCATTTTGTGGTTATTTTGAATTAATTTATATTCCATATGTAATTTTGTAGTTTTCCTATTTTATTAAATTCCATATGGTATTTAAATTGAATAATAAATGCATATCAATTTAATTAATTGACTTTCCTTATAATTTCAAAATTTTAAAATAAAATCTCATTAATTTGCTTTGATTATTTTATCTAAATGATTTGTTTAAATTTAAAAGAAAAAAACACTTTAATTTTAGTAATTCAATATTTTTCTCATTTTTCTTATAAATTCAAAATTTTCAAATGTTTATACATATATAATTGTTTTAAATACACCCATGTAATACATGTGATTCATACCTAGTAATAATAATAATAACATTCATACCTAGTAATAATAATAATAAAAGTTTATTAAGATGCGGGCATAATGTGGATCTTTTGATAACATTCTTTTTTTGTTTTAGGGTTGGATAGTCCAATTTTTATATTAAAATAGTACTTGTATGTAATCATTGAGGAAATACAATAGTTTATTACTTACGAATAAAAATAGATTTTCTCATGTTGATATATGTGTAATTCCAACAAAATGAAATAATTTGGCCTAATGTGGTACACGGTGCGGTGGGTGTTTATTTTTTATTTTTCATAGTATTTGTCTATTTAATAAGGTCTAGGATACAATAAGATAGAACGTTAAAATTACAGTCCCATCTGAGTTTAGAATTTAAATGTTTTGATCTTTAATTGTGAAGTTGGCGTTAAAGAAGATTGGTTTGGGACATTGAACATGCATGTGATGAACATAGTGTTAATACCAGGCTTTGATGATGATTTAAGATAAAATTCTTTCGTAATGAAAGGTAAAATAAAATATGGTATGAAATATGTTTCTATTTTTATAGTGACCTGTAATTTCATTATTATATATAAATATTGACTTTTTATATATATATATATATATATATATATATATATATATATATATATATATATATATATATATATATATATATATATATATATGTAATATTCAGAATTTCTGTTACAAATTTTAACTTGAAATTTCTTGTAAAATAAATTAGTTTTTATAACTAAAATTTAAAAAATCATTTTAATTAACATATTTAATGTTTGTTGAATGTTGATAGATGATAGGTTTTTTTAACCTGCAAATTATATTAAAATAAGATCCCTCCACCCTTTTAGCAACTAACTAGAAGAGGAGAAAGAAAAGAGTCAAACAATTTTTATAGTCAACTGAAAGGGTTAATAGCCCATT